TTCACACTTCTCACTTCGCACTTCACACTCCACATTTCACAGTCCACACTTCACACTTCTCACTTCTCACTGCTTCCTTCCCACTCCAAACTTCACACTCCAAAACTCACACTTCACACTTCTCACTTCGCACTTCGCACTCCACACTTCACTCACACTTCACACTTCACAGTCCACACTTCACACTTCTCACTGCTTCCTTCACACTCCAAACCTCACACTTCACACTTCACACTTCACGCTGCGCTCTTCGCACTCCTCACTTCACAGTCCACACTTCACACTTCTCACTTCACACTTCTCACTTCTCACTGCTTCCTTCACACTCCTAACTTCACACTTCTCACTTCGCACTTCACACTCCACACTTCACAGTCCACACTTCACACTTCTCACTTCACCGCTCCACCTCACTTCACACTTCGTTGACTTACACAGTCAACACTTCACAACTTCACACTTCACTCACTCTTTACACTGCACTTCACTTCTCCACTCCAAAACACTTCACACTTCCACTTCGCAACTCTCACTTCACTGCTCCTTCACACTCCCCTACTTCAAACTTCTCATTCGCACTTCACACTCACACACTCACACTCCACACTTCACACTTCTCATTCTCACTGCTTCCCCACTTCGCACTCGCACTCCACTTCACTCACACTTCACACTTCACAGTCCACACTTCACACTTATCAATGCTTCCTTCACACTCCAAACCTACTTCACACTTCACGCGCTCTTCGCACTCCACACTTCCCAGTCCACACTCACACTTCTCACTTCACACTTCTCCACTCACTGCTTCCTTCACACATCCAAACTTCACACTTCTCACTTCGCACTTCAACACTCAAACACTTCACAGTACACACTTCACACTTCTCACTTCTCACGCTTCATTCCCACTCCAAACTTCACACTCCAAAACTTCACACTTCACACTTCTCACTTCGCACTTCGCACTCCACACTTCACTCACACTTCACACTTCACAGTCCACACTTCACACTTCTCACTGCTTCCTTCACACTTCACACTTCACACTTCACACTTCACGCTGCGCTCTTCGCACTCCACCTTTCACAGTCCACACTTCACACTTCTCACTTCACACTTCTCACTTCTCACTGCTTCCTTCACACTCCAAACTTCACACTTCTCACTTCGCACTTCACACTCCACACTTCACAATCCACACTTCACACTTCTCACTTCTCACTGCTTCCTTCCCACTCCAAACTTCACACTCCAAACTTCACACTTCACACTTCTCACTTCGCACTTCACACTCCACACTTCACTCACCCTTCACACTTCACAGTCCACACTTCACACTTCTCACTGCTTCCTTCACACTCCAAACCTCACACTTCACACTTCACACTTCACACTGCGCTCTTCGCACTCCAAACTTAAACTTCACACTCCACACTTCACACTTCTCACTTCCCACTGCTTCCTTCACACTTCTCACTTCCCACTGCTTCCTTCACACTGCACACTTCACACTGCACTCTTCACGCCCCACACTTCACACTGCTCTAAACCTACGTGCAACAAAAAAACACTAGCGCCAAAATGGAGAAAATCTGCTAACAAATCCATGTCGCAGCCTTCATGCAGCCACTCCAATACGATGTACGAGATCGAGCTGCAAAAGACAATAGTATGACAAATGCAGCCACAGCACGAAGCAACCTTGACGCAGCCATTACAATGCGATCTGCAGAGACTGAGTTGCAAAATACAATAGAACTACGCGCAACGGCGTCAGAAATTGTAGCTCCAAAACCGGATCTCGACGCCAGAGCGAAAAAAAGACGATTTTGAAGCACTTTTTAAAAGGATTTTTAGAAGGAAAATCACTAGCGCCAAAATGGAGAAAATCTGCTGACAAATCACTGTGGCAGCCTTCATGCAGCCACTCCAATACGATTTACGAAGTCCAGCTGCAAAAGACAATAGTAGTACGAATGCAGCCACAGCACGAAGCAACCTTGACGCAGCCATTACAATGCGATCTGCAGAGACTGAGTTGCAAAACACAATAGAACTACGCGCAACGGCGTCGGAAATTGTAGCTCCAAAACCGGATCTCGACGCCAGAGCGAAAAAAAAAAGACGATTTTGAAGCACTTTTTAAAAGGATTTTTAGAAGGAAAATCACTAGCGCCAAAATGGAGAAAATCTGCTGACAAATCCATGTCGCAGCCTTCATGCAGCCACTCCAATACGATTTACGAAGTCGAGCTGCAAAAGACAATAGTATGACAAATGCAGCCACAGCACGAAGCAACCTTGACGCAGCCATTACAATGCGATCTGCAGAGACTGAGTTGCAAAACACAATAGAACTACGCGCAACGGCGTCAGAAATTGTAGCTCCAAAACCGGATCTCGACGCCAGAGCGAAAAAAAGACGATTTTGAAGCACTTTTTAAAAGGATTTTTAGAAGGAAAATCACTAGCGCCAAAATGGAGAAAATCTACTGACAAATCACTGTCGCAGCCTTCATGCAGCCACTCCAATACGATTTACGAAGTCCAGCTGCAGAAGACAATAGTATTACGTATGCAGCCAAAGCAGGAAGCAACCTTGACACAGCCATTTACATTGCGGGAACGATCCTACAGTTGCAAAGCACAATGGAATTCCATTGGCAACTCATCCACCAGCAACACTTGCAATCCCATTTACATTGAGGGAACGATCCTACAGTTGCAAATCACAATGGAATTCCATCTGCAACTCATCCACCAGCACCACTTGCAACCCCATTTACAATGCGGGAACGATCCTACAGTTGCAAATCACAATGGAATTCTGTCGACCACACATGCACGAAAAACAGTTGAAACCCCATTTACAATGCGGAACCGATCCGAGACCGATCCGAGCATGATCCGAGACCGATCCGAACATGATCCGAACATGATCCGACCACACACGAGACCGTCTCGCACCCGTCGCACAGCAGAGGTAGATCATCGAAGTTCGTGGACACACTTTGTATGGAAAAACATAGGCTTTCGTGCATCTGCTATCTCTCACAAACGCATTTCGTGCGAGACTTCCTTCAAAACTCCATCGGCAACTCCTCCACCAGCACCACTTGCAATGCCATTTGCATTGCGGGAACGATCCTACAGTTGCAAATCACAATGGAATTCCATCGGCAACTCATCCACCAGCACCACTTGCAACCCCATTTACAATGCGGGAACGATCCTACAGTTGCAAATCACAATGAAATTCTGTCGACCACACGTGCACGAAAAACAGTTGAAACCCCATTTACAATGCGGAACCGATCCGACCATGATCCGCCCATGATCCGACCACACACGAGACCGTCTCGCACCCGTCGCACCGCAGAGGTAGATCATCGAGGTTCGGGGACGCACTTTGTATGGAAAAACATAGGCTTTCGTGCATCTGCTATCTCTCAAAAACGCATTTCGTGCGAGACTTCCTTCAAAACTCCATCGGCAACTCCTCCACCAGCACCACTTGCAATCCCATTTACAGTGAGGGAACGATCCTAGAGTTGCAAATCACAATGGAATTCCATCGGCAACTCATCCACCAGCACCACTTGCAATCCCATTTACATTGCGGGAACGATCCTACAGTTGCAATTCACAATGGAATTCTGTCGACCGCACATAGACGAAACACAGTTGAAACCCCATTTACAATGCGGAACCGATCCGAGACCGATCCGACCATGATCCGAGGATGATCCGACCACACACGAGACCGTCTCGCACCCGTCGCACCGCAGAGGTAGATCATCGAGGTTCGGGGACGCACTTTGTATGGAAAAACATAGGGTTTCGTGCATCTGCTATCTCTCAAAAACGCATTTCGTGCGAGACTTCCTTCACAACTCCATCGGCAACTCATCCACCAGCACCACTTGCAATCCCATTTGCATTGCGGGAACAATCAATGCCCTAACTAACTCTTTCTGTGACTAACCCTTTCCCTGACGAACTCTTTCTTTGCTAACTCTTTCTTTGACTACCTCATATATCCTGACTAACTCTTTCTTTGACTACCTCATATATCCTGACTAACTCTTTCTTTGACTACCTTTTTCCCTGACTAACTGTTTCTTTGACTAACTCTTTCCTTGACTAACTCTTTCTTTGACTACCTCATATATCCTGACTAACTCTTTCTTTGACTACCTCATATATCCTGACTAACTCTTTCTTTGACTAACTCTTTCCCTCACTAACTCTTTCTTTGACTAACTCTTTCCCTCACTAACTCTTTCTTTGACTAACTCTTTCCCTCACTAACTCTTTCTTTGACTAACTCTTTCCCTGACTAACTGTTTCCCTCACTAACTCTTTCTTATACTAACTCTTCTTTACTAACTCTTTCTTTGACTAACTCTTCTTTGACTAACTCTTTCTTTGACTAACTCTTTCCCTCACTAACTCTTTCTTTGACTACTCTTTCCCTCACTAACTCTTTCTTTGACTAACTCTTTCCCTCACTGACTCTTTCTTTGACTAACTCTTTCCCTGACTAACTCTTTCTTTGACTAACTCGTTCCCTGACTAACTGTTTCTTTGACTAACTCTTTCTTTGACTAACTCTTTCTTTGACTAACTCTTTCTTTGACATTCTAAAAGTCCGTAACACGGAAGTTTCTCCCACTAAACTTCCTTTGAATATCATCTTAAATCATACTTTTGGGTGAACTCTTGTTTGTCGTCCCATTTTTTTCAGAACAGGGGACATGTTTTGCACGTAACTGACGTAACTTAGCTAAAAATAAACCTCAAATCCTCCAATGTGGGGCCCCCAAGATAGCTAAGTTGGTGAACATAACTACAATTTCACTAGGGTTAATGGTAGTTATAACCATAGTTAGATGGGGTTATAAACCAACTTATAACGTTTGGGGGCCCCACAGTGTAGCTTTATAAACCTCAAATCCTCAAGACTTTTTAAATCAGAAACCACATGGCCCTTCCAGGTCTTCCAGGCCCTTGCAGAGGAGACCAGTTGTGTTGGCGAGGTGGGTCCAGAAGGATTGGTGGTGGGGAGAGGACCTGGGATTTAGGTGAAACATTGGATGTTTCAACAAATATTTGGCGGATTTTGTGAACATTTAGTAGATTTTATGAACATTTAGTGGATTTTTTTTTAATGATTTTATGAACATTTAGTGGATTTTATGAATATGTAGTGGATGTTTGATGATGTGTTGTCTATTTTTTTTCCAGCCTTTGTTGGCCCAATAGATATTGAATTACTGAGCCACATGGATACTGATGGATGTCCCATGGATCTACTGGACAATCAGTTGTGCATCGGATACTTCATTGATATTTCATGGATATTCAATGGATTGAAATTCTCAAGATGGGACCCAATTTCTGGATATTTCTGGCCACAGAGAAATGGGGGGTCAGTTGGATCCACCCGATGGTATCCCTACTGTATTGGGTCTCCAATTCATTGAATGGTTCTTGTCTTCCATTAGGCAATAGTTTGCTCGGAATCGATCCAGATCAACCAGATCTAAATTGAGATATGTATGTGATATATGTGGGAGTTTCTTGGAACTCTCAAAATCCACCATGCCTTTGCTGCAAATGCTTATCTTTAATGGCTGGTGATGGGTTTGAGGGGCTCTCAAGTTGTGAGAAACTGCGCTTTGGATCCTAGGCGCAGGTTTTGAAGAACGGTCTATATTTATTGAGCTCAAGAGGATCAAAATGCCACCATTTTTGCCCCTATACTGGGATTACCGTACCTGTAAAGTTTCATCAATACATCATTCAATGGGAATTTCAGGATCCTAAAAAGGAGGTACCTACCATATATAAGGCCTATTTTTCAGGCCTATGTAAGGGGATATCCCCCCAAAATATGGCCTTATATGGTACTAACGTACCTCCAGTTTAGGATCCTGGAGATCTCCCATTGAATCATAGATGGTTTGGTTCTCAGTTCTAGCGGTGGCTTGAGACGGTTCATATAACGAGTGGTGCTTTTTTGGGTCATCCCGCGGCGAATCCTGCAGGGCTGCCTCAGCATGTTGCAGCAGCAAGTGGTGGCCAATCTTGAGTCGGAGGATCCAAAGTTGGAAGATCTATCAAAGTTTGTCATGGCAGAAATCGGTGGATCAGATTATTGATCATCATGTTCGCTGTGATAATGACCATATAATGACCATATAATGACCATATAATGACCATATAATGACCATATAATGACCATATAATGCCCATTTGAAAATGGGGGATACCCCAAAGACAACCCCCAAACAATTTTCCCAGGGCCACGGCCAAGAAACGGGCCCTGGATCCCCGGCAGGAGGCTGTTAGCATGTTCCGGGCGGCACTGGATGAGGGAGATGACGTGGACAAGGTACCATTGGCAGCTGGTTGGTGCGGAGGTTAGCCCTGAAATATGTCATGGGAATGTTCAACCATAATTATGAACATCAAGATATGGACTGATGGGGATATTAAACCATAATTTATTATCATAAACCAGATCAAGACTCATCTTTTCTGGTAGCTGCAAGACATGAGAAGAAATCATCGTTTGTTTCATGTGATAAGCTGCCGGCAAAAGAGGGATTTTACATATCTTGTAGTATAGCCAATATAGCCAATATAGCCCAGCAATGAGATGATATGAAATGATGATTATATGTATACATACTAGTTGTCCATATATTGTGTTTGTTTCAATCCAATGACAATGGTAGGCAGAGCCACAAGCAGGTCCTCTATTTGGCGTCCAGACTCCGCAATCAAGATCTACCCAAAATTGGCCTGGTTACTGTAGTTCTTTTTCAGTAAACACGGCAATTTTTCATAGGACATCCTCCAACTATCTCCAACTTATTGCCATCTAAAATTTAGAGAAACAACTGTTGCCATCTCCAAGTATCTCCAACTTATTGCCATCTATAGATTATTTTCTTCCATGAAATCAATGAGAATTTTTTCCAGGATCCGAAAAAAAATGAGGTACGTTAGTACCATATTTTTGGCCATATTTTGTGGTGATATTCCCTGAAATTTAGGCCTCAAAAATAGGCCTTACCCTCTGGTAAACGTTTGCATAACTATGGAAAATCACCATGTTTAATGGGAAAACTCACTATTTCTATGGCCATTTCCAATAGCTATGTTAGTTTACCGGAGGTTATATCCCATTAAATCCCATTAAACCACCATTTTCCTATGGTTTTCCTATGGTTTTCCTATGTTAGGTACCTTATATAGGCCTTACAGAGAATTTTTTTTTGGCCAGGACGCCTGGGGCGGTCAGAGTTCCACCTATGGCCACTACGGAGACTTGGCATCCGAATGAAGTTGTCCAAATGGCCATTGAAATGTGGTGCTTAATGGCCATGTTCAGACACACCTATTTTTATTTTATAGTATAATAAAATATATAATATATGATATATGATATATAATATATGATATATGATATGGAATATAATATTATATAATATATATTTACATGTCTGTATATATATATGTATATATATATAGAGATTTGAATCCTAGGTTTGGGCTGGATGGCTGTCGCCAACATCCTTTGTACATACGGAGGTTTTCTAAAATGGGGCATCCCAAAAACAAACCAAAGTTGGCCAGTTTGCATGGAGAAATCAATGGTTTGGGGTTGTCTAATTTTCGGAATCACCCACATGCCAGTTGTGAGAAATTTAAACTTCTTCAAGCTACAAGATATTGAGTGAATTATGAATTATGATTCCTTGGCCAACATTCGAAATGATTGGTTAAAGAAGGGTAATGAACCAAGAAGCAGCTCATTTCATGTTATGCCAGGTTGGTGAAGTCTGCTCAATCACTATTGACTTTTTATGTGGTAAACCCGATAACTCCTATTTGGGGATGATGTTTACCACCCATTTATTTTGTCATATTGGGGATGGTTTATGGATGTTTATGGCATAAGGTGAATCCAGCGTTACTGACTTCATCTGAGACATTTGGGACAGATTTGAGCATGGGGACGTTCAACCTTACACTGCGGGGTGTTTTTGTTGCCATGGCTACCAAGGAAACTCCTATGGCGGCAGCTATGGCAACCCATATGGAAACACCTACGGCAATCCCTATGGCAATCCTTATGGCAATCCATATGGCGGCCATCGCCTTAGATTTCTCGGGGTTTCCCCATGGAAAGCCTCAAACCAACTGATGGGCACTGCGGGTAATCTGGACGACTTGAAGCTTCAATTTGGGCTGTTTTGTGCCAGATGGATGCAGTACGATTCTGTCTTTTCGTGATCTTCCCTGTGTTGATGCTGGGATGCCTCATGGGCTGAGGAAACTATGGAGGCTACAACAATCCATACGCCTATTCCGTGCCTGGATACGGCGCGCTGCCGTTCGACTGTTGCAGTAGCCCTGGCCAACCCTGAAAGTCATGGGCCCCTGAAAAGACTCAAACTCGATTATTTTGAAAAAAGGACCTCCTGTATTGGGGTTCGCTGAGAAACTTGATGGAGATGATTTGGATTGATTTGGAGTTTGAAACAGCCGTCGCATCACGAAAAGACAGACGGTGGTTCTTTATCCAACAGATGCATGGGGTTGCAGTGAAGGTCACAGGATGGAGCCAATAGTCTGGTTGTAAACCCAGTTCAAGAGTCTCCAGCAACCAGCAACCAGTAGCCAACCTCAACTTGGGGTCATTTAATTGTATCATCCCACTTATGCCAGATTTTGTGAACCCCAATAGGCCATGGTTTATTACCACAATCGCATTTCTAAGGATTACCCTCTGGTAAACTAACATAGTTATTGAACATGACCATTTATAGTTGATTTACCCATGAAAAATGGTGCTTTTCCATAGTTATGTAAACGTTTACCAGAGGCTACATCTTACTGCCTCTCATTTTTCCATGTAGCAATGGCCACAATTGGGGATGGTTTACAACAACTATCGTCTGGCAATCAAACGAGGCTGGAAAAATCCTCATTTACGGATGATTCTCCCAGCTATAAACCTCCATTTTTGTTGGGGATGTTCCAGACAGCCGTGTTTGATGACACTAGAGGCTATCCCACACATTTCATACATGGTTTCAGCACCTCGCCGCTGGGCAATGAGATATAGAAATACTGTACATATTTAGTCACATTATATATACATATTATATATATTTATTATATAGGTAGAATATTACTGTATATATATATATGTATATCTATATAAATAGTACATAGTATATAAATATAGTACATATTATTATTATCATTATTTATTATTATTAGTGTATACATATATATATATACATGCTGTATTGTATATGTGTGTGTGATATTTTTTGTGTGCAGACGTTTTTCGTCAGGCCCCACGGGATGCATGACCAAGATCTCGGCACATCGGCCCGTCTTGGATGGTTCAATCCTTTAGTCTGGTCTGTTGGTTTCAATGGGAATACCCGGCCTGGTAAAGTAACAAAAAGCGATTGAAAATGGCCATAGAAATAGTGGATTTTCCCATGAAACATGGTGATTTTCCATAGTTTTTTGTATGTTTACCAGAGGGTATCTAGGTTTACCAGCTAAGAAGTGAATTTCTGAAAAGGGTATCTAACATTGGCCATGATATGTGGATGATTGGTATTCTATGAAAAACATGTACATTATCCATACTAGTATTCATATTAGTATCCATTTTGTTCCCTCAAGATGTTTTTTTTTAATGTGTGTGTTTTTTGAGAGCCATTTTTTGTGGATTTCCGAATGATACAATGTGGGCCCCCCTAGTTATAAGTTGGTTTATAACCCCATCTAACTATGGTTATAACTACCATAAACCCTAGTTATTGTAGTTATAAACCAACTTAGCTATCTTGGGGGCCCCACATTGTAGGATGACCGTGATTGACAAGATTCGGTGGTTACTGTAACCATGGGATCCACCGAATCCTGTACGGGATGAATCAGATGGTTGTGGGATGGTTTTCCTTCAAAACACGTTGAGATCTTGCCCCAAAAATTGGTTATATCTACATACCCTCTGATAAACTAACAAAAAGCTATTGAAAATGGCCATAGAAATAGTGGATTTTCCCATTAACAATGGTGATTTTCCATAGCTATGTTAAATTACCAGAGGGTAACTAAATAGATATTTAATGATACCGTTTTGCAAGCAACGTTTTTGTTGATGATTACATATAAAAAACATTTGCCAGAGAGTGTTTTTTGGTCAAATCAATAGACCTCTCAGACAGTGAATCACGAGGTTTTTTTGGCCAAGCCAAAACCACGAGATCGTCATTGTTTCATTGAAGTCAGTTGCGGGATGAATTCCCACTGTTTGATGCCGAAAAATCCTCATTTTTCCGTTGACCAGCAGTTCATTCAATTAAACACATGAACAAGCCATTCGACAACGGGGTACCTCAAAAAATCAGAAAGGTATTCACCAATATATCATGATATATCATGATATATTCCACTGTGTTACCCCCAAAACAAGAACTCAATGCCTACCCTCTGGTAATTTAACATAACTATGGAAAATCGCCAATTTTTAATGGGTAAATTTACTAGAAATCACCATTTTCAATAGCTTTTTGTTAGTTTACCAGAGGGTAGCAGCAGTGGGGACTGGTATTGGGTACCCTCCAACGCTGGCTCGTTGCTCAGAGCTCCTCGTGCATGATCTTCGACTGCGCCAAATCTCGTGGCCCTACCCGGTGCAACACCCAGGACGCGGGCTGGGAATGGCTGGGAATGCCCCAATGGGTTTGTGTGGGATTCATAGGATGCGAATCCACATATTATGGCTATTTTAAGAGGAAAATTATGATATTTCCCTACAATGTGGGGCCCCCTAGGTATAAGTTGGTTTATAACTCCATCTAACTATGGTTATAACTACCATAAACCCTAGTTATTGTAGTTATAAACCAACTTAGCTATCTTGGGGGCCCCACATTGTAGATGTTGGGATACCTTGTTGTTAGACAAGCTCAGCCATTTGAATTGGGAAGCATATGATGAACCAATAGATTCTGCGGTACCATATTTTCAGACAACGCCAGCAAGGGGGCCCGGGGTGTTTGATTACCAGAGGGTATGCCAATTTCATAAATCATACCAACCTCCCCCCAAAAATCAGAAATATATCCCATATATCCATTTATATCCCATAATTCCTTTAATTCATGGGGATAATTCACCAATATATCCCATTCATATTCCATTCATACTACCATCTGGGAAATTAACAGACATAGACCCGAGAATCAGCAATTTTGAATGGAAACGAATCTTCCAAGCCCGATGACTGCCAGGGTCCAACTGTTAATTTATTGGAGGGTAACTATCATTATATAACTATCATTTATATAACTATAGATGTTTATAACTATTATTATATAACTATCATTTATATACCATGACCATCATAATAGTTATCAATGATAGTTACAGATGGTTTACTGAACTTAAAGATGGGTGGATCTTTCCATGGCGAACGGTTTGTCATAACCAGATGGTATATCCCCATGATTCCGCATGATTCGCCATAGGACTACTATTGCTACTGCCAACCTGGCCACCTGGAGCGGGGGAGGGAGCGGGGGAGCGATGAGCCCTGCAGTGAGTGTAGAAAAAAAACTGGTAATGGAGAGCTACGTAGAATTTATGTGTATATCAGTGTATATATATATGTATTTACATTATATTATATACACATTATATACATATATCATCATGTATCATCATATATCATCATATATCATCATATATCATTAAATATATCATTAAATATATCATTATATATCATTATATATCATTATATATCATTATATATCATTATATATCATTATATATCATTATCTATCTATCTATCTATCTATCTATCTGTAATACATATATATATATACAGACACAAGTATCCATCGACATCACTTCGTATATGTATATATATATACACATACATGTTTTGCATGATTCGGACACTTCTTCATGCCATCCAAGTGGTCATGTTTTCCACTGCTTGAGATGGCAACATGTGAGGCGTGACGTCATGTATTTTTGCTAAAATGATTGTGTAATCCCTTTTGGAAGACTGCCTCACTTGGCTTTTACAAACAGGTACTGCAAGTGATTGCAAGTGTATCTATGTCTATGCGTTTGTCTATCTTTACCTATTCCCCTATTCCCCTATTTCCCTATTTCCCTATTTCTGACCTATTTACCTATCTACCTATCTACCAACCTACCAACTATCTATCTACTCTACTGCAATCTATAATCTAATCGAATTTAGTCTAATCTTATCTTATTGGCTAACTGATGCTCGGAGGCTTAGCAAGTTCATCTATCCATCCATCAATCTGCGCAACAGTATCAAGGAACCATCTACCTACCTAAGCATCTCTTAATTGTGCCCATGCCTGTCATGCTATGTAAAACCCAAGCTCTTCTGAAGTCTAGACAAATCAAACCTAGTATACTAAATAACATTTTTTTGTAGGAACAATGATGACATTGGATTTGGGGTCCCCGATTTTCAGACTAAGTCTATCTCAGATACCAAGCGGAAATTGTCTATGAAGTTCCATCTCCACTGTTTGGCAACCTAACCCAAGCTGGTCCAAGGCTATTGCTCAGATGGCCATGGATGCATGCCAGCACGCTAAGCCGCTGGCATCTGGGGACGCAGAAGACGACCCCTGCAGTGTCTCACAGTGGGGCGATCGCCCCCCACGAGATTTTGGCGGAGAAATGGCTGGACATGTAGGAAAACAACGCGTCAGTGCGTGCAACACGTGGGATATTCACAGCCAGTCGATTGAACACGATTGAACATTTTTTGCGCGGTTTTGCCAATTCAACATGAACTCAAGGACGTATTACCTGCCCAAACATCATAGATCTTATTTTTTTCAGCAGGAAAATCCAAGTGGCTCAGCTGCGGAGCTGAAGTGATGATGGATCAATTGGTACCCAATCTGTAGATATTTGTGATGTGCTAAACCTACAATCATTACCCTCTAGTAAACTAACATAGCTAATTATTGAAAATGGCCAGTTATAGCTGATTTACCCATAAAAAAATGTGATTTTCCATAGTTGTGTTATATAGTTATTATAGTTTACCAGGGAGTAACCATCCAGGACCATCCACATGTTTACCCTGACATGGGTCCATACCTGTCTCATCGATTTTCTCCAGGAGGATGCTGCTGGGATGAAATGCCTGGCCGAAGTGATCCCCTGTTCGGATTCGACATCCCTATGGTTAATGATCCCAAATATGTATAAAACTAAAACTAAAAAAAAGCAAACCATGGCATTGTTTGGTTTACTTGTTCATGCTTTTGCCCCGTCGTCTATGCGCGAAAACAATCCACACACCTGTCGGCAGAGAGTACAGAAAAATGTGCCTCGCGCAGTCGTAGGGGTTGATATGTTTGTTTGGTGACAGTTTCTGCGTGATGAATATGATGAAATATATTGTTAATTCTCAATCAAGGTCGTAAACAACCGCTCACAAGTTGTACCAACCAAACAAGGCCTCAAATCAGCTATGCAATATTCTGATTCAACAAGATTTTTTCTCCGAACCTTACGGACCAGATACTACTAAAAATCAGCACTAGACATATGCTATCATCAGCTTCAGCGGGTACCCTTGCTAGGCCTTGAAAGACTGCATCAGCATGCTGGAGAAGCCAGAATCTCAGCGCAGATCAGAGACGTTGGGATTCTCTTTGAGGAGTTTCAGCAACATTTAGAAACAAAGATGGGATATAGATATGGAAGTTTCCTAAAGTACAGAGGTACCCCCCCAAATCATCCAAAATTAGACCATTTTATATAGTCTTTTAGTATTGAAAGCCATGGTTTTGGGGTACCCCTATTTATGGACATATGATAGATATGTTGCTAAACAGGTGATTTGAGTTCCTGAGTTCCTGCTTCTCATCTGGCTGAAGCCCATGGCGTCAGATTGTTGGACCTCCCTGGGTACACCAAAAAGATCCAATGGGGAAGCCTTAAGTTTTTGGTGAACTCATCCCTCATGAGAAACAGGAGTGGGATTTTATAGCCTCAGTAGAACTGCTAAGCTCTCTGTCGGCCTCTGGTTGTGACTGTTGTGACTTGCCAGTTACTACTTCTGGTTGTTAGATTCCCCGTGGAATCATGTGAAATCTGAGGTTCTCCCAAGAGAGCGACCAAATAAGGAGGGCAACCAAGCATGACTCGCAGCAGTGCGACCATTGACAGCTTGTGCTTGAACAATGCTGAACACATTGACAATTCTTGAACAGATGGAGAGAATGATAGAGAATGTGTTAGATTCTAGTGATATTCAAATCATCAAACAATCTATATATAAACATATATATAATTATATAAACATATACAACTGCACCCCACTTTTCTGCAGACACTTAAAATCCCCTGGCTGAGTTGTCGCCCCACTGCCGCGACTGCCGCGAGGTATTCTTCTGATATGAACCTCCTGGGCTCCTTCTTACAGCTGGGATCCTATCTGCCATGACTTTTCCTGTAGCACTTGGCATAGGGTCGACTATCAGCAGGGGGTTGACGACGTAGATTTCTGTAGTTGCTGCAAGCTGAACAATTTCTCACATGTTCGATGAACTCGCGCCAGTGCAAGACTTGGTTTTATGGCTTTAAGTTAAATTAAGAGAATAAACGTGCCGAAGTCGAACTCCGGCTGTTTGTTCCACTGTTTTGATTGCGCATGTGTTTAGCACCCCAAAGGCACAGCCAAGCTTCCATCCCCGTAACTGTTAGGTCCTTGCAGGGGCAAATGGCAGCCACATATCAGTGCCTTGGCAAGAGGGATCAAGTCAAACAGCCACCATGCCAATGGCTTTGGGCCGTTTGGGGAGGAGACTCAACAAAAACCATGGTGTACAGTGGTTAGCTTCCATTTCTTTCTGTTTTTTGAACAGGTTTTTTTGCTGGGGTTGTTTACCTTCACTGATCATTGATCACAAATTGTGATTGAAGATCCATGGATCCCTGTACCCTCTGGTAAACTAACATAGCTATTGAAAATGGCCATAGAAATAGTGGATTTTCCCATTCAAAATGGTGATTTTCCATAGCTATTTTGACATAACCAGAGGGTATCTTTGGGTTTGAGCTCTTGGGCAGGGCATTACCCTCCGGATCCCTCCAGCCTGGTAAGACCATCCTGACCCCAAAAAGCATCGCCAGCACGGACAAGAAGCTCTATGACCAACTTCGCAGCAAGCAGCAGAAGGCCCGCGGCGATGTTGGAGAGCTGACTCTTTGAAACATGGGGATGGGTCAAAACCATTCAAAACCAACATCATATCCTGTGTTGGTGGGATGAACATCCACAAATCAAAACTATTTGGGGTTTGACCCGTGGCCATAGTTCTTGCAACCCTTTTCCTGGTGACACATCATCTCAACAAATGTTGCATCAGGCCATTTAAGTTGAACCTCCAAGAGATCATGATGCAACTTCTTGGCGATGGACTGTCCCCTAGCAGCCCTAGCAAGTGGGTTATGACCATGGTTGTTGGTTACCCCATGTAAGCCTCGAGTGCTGGTGATATCTGGTGCTATGACCACCATCCCGGTCACTTTTTTGCTGCTGAAGATCCCCGATTTTCTTGGGTAAATCATGTTGCCCTCCAGTGAACTAACGTAGCTACTGAACATGGGCCATAAAAATAGATGATTTACCAATGAAAAATGGTGATTTTCCATAGTTGTGTTGCTTCACCAGAGGCAAAATCCCAATCTTTTGCAGCTGATATTGACCAATTCCTTGCCCTTGCCGGCAGCGTGGCAATGCATGGCAGGCGTTGTCCACGGGCTTGATCCAGAAGCACCAAGCCACCAAGGGGACCAAGACGACCAAGGTGGGGAAAGAAGCTGGGGATTTAGCAAAGAAACTTGGATTCTAATGATTTCATCAGAAACAAATGGTACATTTTACCACGAAAATTCAGAGATTCACTAACAATAATTAAGTGTGATTTACCCTCTGGTTATGTCAAAATAGCTATGGAAAATCACCATGCTATTAATGGGAAAATCTACTATTTCGACTATGGCCATTTTCAATAGCTATGTTAGTTTACCAGAGGGTAAGATACGTCCTTTTCCCTTCGAATGTTGGGCAGTTCCCATAAATACAGCGTGCCAGTCATGTTTACAGATTCAGAATTCCACTGCAACTTGGGATCCCCTTGGGTACAACCCAACCAGTCATCTAGGGCAACCCTTGGATCGATGGTTGTGGAGGCATCAAGCAAATCCAAGCACCATGCCCACAGTCTGAAGCAAAAGGCCGCTGGGTTTGGGCGAAAAATGATGTGGGTTTGTCTCACAAAGCTCAACTTATGGTAATTACTTTATGTATCTTGAGTGGGAACGACAATAAACTACTTGGGAGTTTGGGCTTCCAAAGAAAAGACCCTCTATAGTAGTCCAACCAGGCAAGCGAAAATCAGCATGTTCAAATGGGTAATGTCACCCATGAGTTGGGGACTGGAGGATGTCGTTTTTTTTGGACCGGTATCAACACGGTGAATCCTGCGCGTGGCAAAACGCGTGGCGCGTGTGAGGTGACGATTCGAAAAGGACATTTTGATAGGGAAAATGATGATCATCTATGGCATTTTGGGGTACCTGTAGCCTATGAAATCCTATGAATCATCTTCAGAACATCCAATTTTGGGGAACGGTGCCATGGACCCCAATAGTTCAGCCAAACAAAAAAAAACTTGGAACCTGCGACAATTACAGATGTTTTTTCTCTTTGTTTTTGGGGAGTACCCTCTGGTAATTTAACATAGCTATTGAAAATCACCATTTTTTATGGGAAAATCCACGATAAATGGCCATTTTCAATAGCTATGTTAGTTTACCAGAGGGTAAGCTAAAAACAGATTGCACGTTGGACATGGAAAGAAACATGGCTGGTGGAAACACCATTCCATGGAGAATCACCAGGTCAAGATGAGAAAGGCACATCGCCACCTGGCACGTTTAAAACTGGCAGATGCAGCATTACCAGAATAGGATTTCTATGTTACAATGTAAACATGGGTATGCTGGGTATGTCTGAAAATGGGGGTATACCATGGTATCCCTGCAAAATGGCATTGTAGTCGGGAAGCTGCTTCCAGACAAACCCACGTGTTCAATTGCACCAATTACTTCGTACAGGTAGGCTACAGATGAGGATGGCTTAACTTTTTCACATACCCTTTGGTAATCAAACGTGGCATGCTGGAAAATACATCATTTGTAGACTTAGTTCGATGATTTTCCCATCATTGGCAACCTGGGAGACATTGGACTCCGGATTGAACCTGGCTGTTTGGGTCATCATTTCAGTATCAAACTTGTCAAACCATTGATGTTTTGGGGGTTCATGAGAAACTGATAGTTCCTAGCTTCAATCTTTTTTTAGGTCATTTTAGATGGAGAAATAAGATTCAGCAAACTTGACCGTCCCATGGACCCTTTGATATATTTTGGAGAACTGTCTGAGAACATCAAACTATTCGTTTGTTCTGCTCCACGAATCACATCCCATGATATGTTCCATTGTCAATGGCAATTACTTCTTGATAATCCCCATGAATGATCAGGTTCCCTACTCATTACTCTATTTTTTTATCAACGCCACTATTGCTGGGGATAATAATCCAATATTAATCAGAATACTTACTATAAGCCATCATTCTTAGTTAAATGGATGTTTGAGAGTGACTATTAAATACCGTTAATGTCTATTAACAATCCCCATAGTAATTACTAATAGTTAATAATCTGTGAATATTCCCTATGGTGCAGAGTCACTATTGACATCTATTATACATCTACAATGTGGGGCCCCCTAGTTATAAGTTAGTTTATAACCCCATCTAACTTTGTTAAAAAACTACCATAAACCCTAGTGAAATTGTAGTTATGTTCACCAACTGAACGCTATCTTGGGGGCCCCACATTGTAGTAATTACTAATAGTTAATAATCTGTTAATAATCCCTATGGTGCAGAGTCACTATGAGTCACTATTGACATCTATTATACATCTATATTACAAATATGAGTCACTATGAGTCACTATGATTTTGGTGCCAATGTTTGGTTTATCGCCCCATCGCCCCTTCTCGGCACCAAGGTAAGGCCCACGCCGCGGCCCACGCCCAAAAGGCCCTCAGCCAGCACGGCCAGCACGCGAAGCACACGAAGCACACGAAGCACCAACATGGCCAATGGAAGGTGGGTGCTACCACGGTCCCCCGAGGGTTGGGGGTTGAATGATTGATTGATTGATTATAGTCTATGGTTAAATTATGTTACATTATGTTAAATCACAATTGATTCATTATAATGAACTATAGTTATTCATTATTATTGAACTATTGTTATTCATTATAATTCAACTACAGTTATTCATTATAATTCAACTATAGTTATTAATGAACTTACAACTCAACTACTCGTTTCAGTCATGAATGAAGCTCTGAAATTCCACTTGGCGAATTCTCGGGGTCCAGGCACCGAGTTTTCTTCAACTCTCAGAGGATGTGGGAAGCCTAGACCCAGAGCGTGTGTTTGGTGATTTGAATCTAGATGTTTGCACTTTAGAATTCAATGAACATCCAGTTTATATGGATGATTATATACCAGCTTAATTATGATCTTTTCTGTATTGTTGAAACCACCCACCAACATGTTTCTTTGTGAAGAAACCTTGAGATGCACTGAGGAGCACGAAGAGCTGTCCAAAGTGGACCTTGACCTGCGAAAGTTGCAGGAAGCCGATTGGGATGAATCATACCCCACTTTGATACTTACCTAACATAGCTATGGAAATCACAATCTTTAATAGGCAATTCAACTATCAATGGGCCATTTTCCATAGCTATGCTATGTTAAATTACGGGTACATATGGGCTTTAGAGTTCCATTCCACTGAGTGTGAACCTTCAACATTGAGTGGTTATCGCTATTTATTCGTAGCTCCATGTATCGCAACATCCAGCTATACACATGACATGGACGGCCCTTGATGCCAGTGGACAGCTGATCCTGGTGGTGACATTGGTGGGCGGATAATCGGTGAAAGCGTCGGAACTAACCAAGAACAACAGGGATATCGCCTGCAAACAGGGTGAGTAATAAAGAAACAAACATGGTGAGGTTGTCAGTTGCTTCAGTGATGACCTTGCTTTACATCTTCAAGCCGCAAGCTGCAGGAGAGTATCAAGAAGCAGATCGATATGGCAGACCAACAGGCTTTGGAGATGGCTTATGGACTGCAGAGTTGTTCCATCGCACACATCCAATCTTATTGTAAGGATTGTTGCAAAAGTCAGGTTTCACACACTCTTGTTAGTTGCCTGCATCAATCCAACCTTCAATAATGGATGTGCTAATTCCCAGCCGTGTCGGACCATGTTGGCTCATTTTTGGTGCTGAAGCCCCCGTTACCGTTAGTATTGGTGAAGGTCCATGTTTTTAAGCAACCAATAAATTCCAACTTTGTGTTGCTTCAATTTCCAACCCCCATGTTGTATTGAAATCCTTCTCTAAAACCCTGTTGGCGTGTAAAATGCCTCCATGTCTCATAGACCGTCAGGCGGATGCTGCGGACGCAGCCTCGGGAATGCTGAGCCACCTGGTCCCCGCCACGAGTTTGTTGCAACTGTCGGCAAGGGGGCCGAGTTGGGGCCCAGTGAAGGTGCTGAGGGTTAGGTGACCTCAACAAAAATCTGTGCAAGGTGGTTTCCCCAGTCATACGAGTGGGTTTGTTTATGAATTTGATATATATTTATATATATATATGTATAATATATATATATAGATACCAAATGTTACTGATAAACCTGAGTTAACCTCCTTAGCCAAGTAAGAGGGCACCCCTTGCAAGGGTTGGGTGGATCAGAAGCCAGGAACCCAGGAATCATCAGGACTGGATGAAAAAAGCCTCATTATGGAGTTTGGACGGTCCCCGATTTTGATGCAGATTTATTCAAGTGGAGAAGTGAGAGTTTTGGTAAGAAGCAGATCACCCATGGATCTGCCATTCAGAGGACTTCAAATTGAGCTTACTTGGCCAGTTGCAGAGATTTGTATCCTAACAGCAAGGCACACCACGGGTCTTCCACAATTGTACAATCCAAACACGGGTGGTTCTCAAAGATGCGGACCTTCAAAATCAGCAGAAATCGGCACCAGGAAGGTGATGGGGAGCTGGCAGATGACTCGGCTCCTGCATCCCAGGTCAGGGTATGTGTCAAGGGCCTTACCCCTGTAGGATAAACATCTCAGAAAAAATGGGACAACAAAAATAGAGGAGTTACTGGATTTCTTCATTTTGCTCCCCCATATTAGTGGGTTTTTGATTCATGAGGGGCAGCCGATTGTTTGCAGGATCTATTTTTTTGCGCGAAGAAAACCGGCGTACAAGAGTGACCTGACTCAAAAGAGGAGAAGTGGGTAGGTGTCCAAAATTGGACGCTCCCAAACGGCGCGCAACCCACTACCAAGACCACCCACTTTGAGACCGATTTCTGTTTCAATGCCCTGTGGGACATCCCCATCGCAGCTGTTGTCACAGGGCCCTTGATGAAACACTTGGCAACCAACTTTGAGCCGATGCCCAGAAATTTCATCTGGACCCGAACTGGACATCTTGAATCCAAACATCTTACTTCGGCTGCTGAATTTTGGGTGTGGGAGTTGAATACAGCAGGATCTCAATCAGGTCCTTCAACAGTAGCTCAATTCGTTGGTCGCTGTTCCATGCTGGAGCCCAAAGTTGCTGTATATCATGTATGATTATAGAATGGTTTTCCACAACATAGATTCTTGCAATTTAGACAGCCATTTTGCCATAACTTACTTATATTTATTTATTGTCTATTAAATGTCTATTAACTGTCTTATCACATATGGAGGTTTCCTAAAAAGGGGTACCCCTAAATCATTCATTTTTAGATAGATTTTCCATTATAAACCATATATTTTGGGGTACCCCCTCCACTTTAGGAAACCCCTACAATGCGGGGCCCCCTAGTTATAAGTTGGTTTATAACCCCATCTAACTATGGTTATAACTACCATAAACCCTAGTGAAATTGTAGTTATGTTCACCAACTTAGCTATCTTGGGGGCCCCACATTGTAACTATCATCAGTTCCCATAGATGTTTAGAACACCCACCTACGTTTACGGCGCGGCGAGTGGCAGCGTGGCAGGTTGAGGCGCCAACTTCCAGCAGCCTCCTGGAAGAGGTTGGATCAAATGGGGGTCCAGAAAAAGTTGTTAAAATATACACGCTAATAATGTGTATATATATATCATATATAATATACAATAATATGATATGATATATAATATAATATAATACAATATAATATAATACAATATTTTATAATATTATATAATATATATTATATTTAATATATTTAATATAACATATAATATAATAAAATATATAATATACTATAATATAACTTACTATAATTTAATATATTGTAATATTTAATTTAACAAATATATATATATAATGTATAATATATAATGTATAATATATAGTATATAATATATAATATATTATATATTATATAATATATATTATATATCATATATCATATATAATATATTGTATATAATATAGTTATATATAATATAATATAATATAATATAATATACTATAATATAATATAATATAATGTAATATAATATGATATAATATGATATGATATCATATAATATGATATACTGTAATTTAACATATAATGTAATATAGTATAATATAAAATATGATATATATATATATATATTAATTTAATATAATACAATATTATAATTCAATACAACATAATATTGAATAATATACTACAATATATATATATATATTCAATGCTATTTTACAATATAATATAATATTTTCAGAAAGATAAAATGTATATAATATATAGTATATAATGTATAATGATAATATATATATATACACACTATATATTAAAGTGGATCAATGTGTCATCTTATGTTACTTCTGATTTGTGCTGGATGTATCCAATTTGTTGGAATTTGTTGGGTGATTATTCAATCTTACTCGTTCAGGTGTCATGGTTGAAGCTTCATTGCTCCAAAACCATTCCTGGCAGTGAGATTAATTGGGAAATAAATAGGCAAATAAGTTGGGAAATAAATAGAAGAACAAATCGGAAAATATATAGGGGAATAAATAAGGAAATAAATAGGGCAATAAATAGGGAAATAAATAGGGCAATGCATAGGGGAATAAATAGGGCAAATAAATAGGGGAATAAATATGGAAATACATAGGGACATGAATAGGGAAAATAAATAGGGGAATAAATAAAGGAATAAATAGGGACATGAATAGGGCAAATAAATAGGGGAATACATAAAGGAATAAATAGGGAAACAAATAGGGGAATAAATAGGGAAATACATAGGGGAATAAATAGGGAAATAAATAGGGGAATAAATAGGGGAATAAATAGGGAAATAAATAGGGAAATAAATAGGGGAATAAATAGGGGAATAAATAGGGAAATAAATAGGGAAATAAATAGGGAAATAAATAGGGGAATAAATAGGGAAATAAATAGGGGAATAAATAGAGAAATAAATAGGGGAATAAATAGGGAAATAACTAGGGAAATAAATAGGGGAATAGATAGGGAAATAAACAGGGGAATAAATAGGGAAATAAATAGGGGAATAAATAGGGAAATCAATAGGGGAATAAATAGGGAAATAAATAGGGGAATAAATAGGGAAATAAATAGGGGAATAAATAGGGAAATAAATGAGGAATAAATAGGGAAATAAATAGGGGAATAAATAGGGAACTAAATAGGGGAATAAATAGGGGGAATAAATAGGGAAATAAATAGGGAAATAGATAGGGAAATACATAGGGGAATAAATAGGGAAATAAATAGGGGAATAAATAGGGAAATAAATAGGGGAATAAATAGAGAAATAAATAGGGGAATAAATAGGGAAATAACTAGGGAAATAAATAGGGAAATATATAGGGGAATAAATAGGGAAATAAATAGGGGAATAAATAGGGAAATAAATAGGGGAATAAATAGGGAAATAAATAGGGGAATAAATAGGGGGAATAAATAGGGAAATAAATAGGGAAATAGATAGGGAAATACATAGGGGAATAAATAGGGGAATAAATAGGGAAATAAATAGGGGAATAAATAGGGAAATAAACAGGGGAATAAATAGGGAAATAAATAGGGAAATAAATAGGGAAATAAATAGGGAATAAATAGGGCAAATAAATAGGGGAAAAAATAGGGAAATAAATAGGGACATGAATAGGGAAAATAAATAGGGGAATAAATAAAGGAATAAATAGGGACATGAATAGGGCAAATAAATAGGGGAATACATAAAGGAATAAATAGGGAAACAAATAGGGGAATATATAGGGAAATAAGTAGGGGAATAAATAGGGGAATAAATAGGGAAATAAATAGGGGAAGAAATAGGGACATAAATAGGGGAATACATAGGGAAATAAATAGGGGAATAAATAGGGAAATAAATATACCGGAATAAATAGGGAAATTAATAGGGGAAAACATATGGAAATATATAGGGGAATAAATAGAAAAATAAATAGGGGAATAAATATGGGAATAAATAGGGAAATACATAGGGTAATAAATAGGGAAATAAATAGGGAAATAAATAGGGGAATAAATAGGGAAATATATAGGGGAATAAATAGGGAAATAAATAGGGGAATAAATAGGGAAATAAATAGGGGAATAAATAGGGAAATAAATAGGGAAATAAATAGGGAAATAAATAGGGGAATAAATAGGGAAATAAATAGGGAAATAAATAGGGGAATAAATAGGGAAATAAATAGGGGAATAAATAGGGAAATAAATAGGGGAATAAATAGGGAAATAAATAGGGAAATAAATAGGGGAACAAATAGGGAAATAAATAGGGGAATAAATAGGGGAATAAATAGGGCAAGAAATAGGGGAATAAATAGGGAAATAAATAGGGGAATAGATAGGGAAATCAATAGGGGAATAAATAGGGAAATAAATAGGGGAATAAATAGGGAAATAAATAGGGGAATAAATAGGGAAATAAATAGGGGAATAAATAGGGAAATAAATAGGGGAATAAATAGGGCAATAAATAGGGGAATAAATAGGGCAATAAATAGGGGAACAAATAGGGAAATAAATAGGGGAATAAATAGGGAAATAAATAGGGGAATAAATAGGGAAATAAATAGGGGAATAAATAGGGAAATAAATAGGGAAATAAATAGGGGAATAAATAGGGAAATAAATAGGGGAATAAATAGGGAAATAAATAGGGGAATAAATAGGGGAAATAAATAGGGGAATAAATAGGGAAATAAATAGGGAAATACATAGGGAAATAAATAGGGGAAATGCATAGGGAAATAAATAGGGGAAATAAATAGGGAAATAAATAGGGGAATAAAAAGG